ATGAATGAACCCTGTCTTCCCGAAACCTCTGCTCCCCCCAGGACACAGAGACCGGTGCAGAGCCAGCGCAGGTTGGCAGTGGCGGTCCCACGGCGGTGCCGGAGCGCCCCCGAAAGTGCCACCGGCCGTGGCTTTGAGGGCCAGCAGCAGTGAGGGGCAGGCTGCGGCGTGCACCCCACTTTGGCTGGCGCTGCCTGTGCTGTTCCTAAGCAACATCTAATAATAATAATAAAAAGGGCTCCTAGAGACACAACTGTGCTACATTCAAGCCGGGGTAATTGCAAGGCAAAGCACGAGCTCTGACTCTCTGAAACCTTTTCACTCTCAGAGAAAAGGATGCGTCGTCCTGCCAGGAGCAACTGGACGAATTTCGGAAGCTGGTCGGGGCCGTAAGGAGGTGGCTGAGGGAGAGCGAAGGCAAAATGCCGCCCGCCGAGACCTCCCTGGGCACCCAGGAGCTGCACAAGCGCAGGCAGCAGATCCAGGTGGGCAGCGGGAGCCGGAACCGGACTGGGAAAGTTGGAAGCTGGTGTGGAAACGCTGGGACGTGGAATAAATCCCAGGAAGCAGAGTCCTGGGAGGTGTTTTATGGTCTCAGGAGTCCTGGGCTCCCCTGTACTCGCTGCTGGGCTGCAGCCCCTGGTGTGTGTGCATCCAGCGGTCCCTGGCTCGCGGAGAAGGGAGCAGTGTGAAGGTCCTCCTGGGCACTGCCTGGTTTCCCTTCCCTCCCCCTGCCTGCTCGGGGCGGGGATTTGGGAGTGGGAGACCCAAGCACAGTTGTTTTCGCTGAATGTTTCCCCTTGCTAGACATGGAAGGTGGCCTGCCATCATCCGAGCCCCCGCTCCTTTCCAGCACCGTGATGCTTTAAATCAGATATGCCAAGGGTTTGACTCAGAGGCAGAGCAGCGTCTGCTGAGTCACCCACGGCCCTCGCACCCCACGGCACGCCGCCGGGCTCCGCCGAAAGCTGCGGGGACTGGACTCGTGTGAGGCTGGGATGTGTCGAGAGGAGGAGGGAGGTCCCCGAAACAGTAGGAGGGAGAAGAAAGTTTCCTGCGACAGACCCGCTAGTTAGGGAAGAGCTTTTCACTCTTTGATTCCCCCTAACAAAAATAAACATAAAGACACCCACTTTCCCGGCGCAGGCAGCTTGCTGTGTGCCGGTGCGACCGTTGCCAGTTCCCTGGGCACCATGTCCCGGTGCCACCAAGTCCCCCCAGAGGTGATGGGCGAGGAGGGAGGGCTGCGGCAGGGCAAGCGCAGCCTCCGATCCCAGCCTTTGCTTTTGACCATGATCTCCTGGAGGAGTGGAAGGGGAAGGGGGCCCAGGTGGAGGAGATCGGCCGCAGAGGGACCCTCCTGGAGAACCTGATCATGGAGATTACGGCCCCCGACACCCCGTCCAAGGCAGGTGAGTCGCAGCCCGGCTCTCCTGAGGATGCCTCCTTCTTCGGAGCTCTGTTTGCTCTCGTTGCATCTTCTCTGAGCCTGCCTCAAGCAAAAAAATGGGGTGTTATTTCCCCTTTTTAACGAATTTCAGAGGGCCCGTGGTGGCCCAAGTATCATGGGGCTCAGCCCCGTGGTTGAGCTGCTGCCGCTTGTTGCGTTAATGCGTCAGCGGAGCGCTTGGAGCCCACCAACCTGGCTTAATTTGCTGTAGCATAACAAGCACTGAATTACCCTGCGTTTGCCGTAAGCCCGGCGTGGGGACACGTATTGCTGCTCGGATGGAGCATGGGAGTTTCAGGCTGCCGCAGCGCAGGGGTCCGGGCTCTCGGCCCCGCAGGGAGCTCGTGGAGGCGGCTCCTGCTTTCTCTCGGTGATGCGCTTCAGCCTCCTGGGGACTGGAACGTTTTAATCAAACTCCAGTATTTGGGTTTCGTATCTGGATGAAATTTAAGACTGCAATATTCAGACGTGATTTACTAGTCTCCTTTTTGGCTTCAAGTCTGTGAAGCAATGAGATTATGTCTGGTTCGTTTGGAAACCAACTAAAAGATGTCTTCCAGCTCGTGAGAACAAGTCTCTGGACTCTCATCGTTGATGGGCATTTATGAGAATTCACAGTCTAGATGTGTTTGTTAGGGTTAACTTGAGCAGTTCAGTAGGAAACCGCCAAGAGAAGTGGGGAGAGGCTTGGTGGGGGCGACCCACACGGTCACTCACGTGGGGTGACCCAAGCTGCAGCCCCTTATATCCGTGAAAGCTTTAAAAATCTGTGGTTAGGAAGAGAGAGGCTTACCCGATGTTTCTGATTAACCCCTGTTTGGTTGTGAACGTAGCTGCCTGGTGTCCAAGGAGAGGACACTGACACGTCCTGCGTGGAGCCTCTTGGCAAAGAGAGCGTGTCTGTGCACCAAGATACTCATCCCGTAAGAAAGGAGAATGTAGGGGAGTTAATCTTTTCAGGGGAGTTCATCTCTTCAGGGAAGGCATTCAGAAGTCTCGCTTGATATTATAATTCACAAAATCACGCTCAAGGTAGCAGCTTTCAAGGGGTGGAGAGGTGGCCAGTGGCCCCCAGTATTATGGTCCATGCAGGTGCCACGTCCACCTTGGGTGATGCTGGGAGAGGTGCCCAGCTCCAGACAGCTTCAGGTCTTCCGCTTCTGGTCCAGCGAGGCGGGAGCAGCTCCAGGAAAGCGAGGGGTGGGGGTGTGTCGGGAGGAGGAGACATAAACAGACTCCAAATGGAACTAATGCCGATGGCTCGGCGCTGAGCCGGTGGGTTCATCAGCACCAGGCGGGTGGGCCCGTGGAGACGCCGCGTCTGTGCTTGGTGGCCGGTGTGGTCCGTGTCGTGGAGGGCCGTTCATCGCTTGCCGTCTGCATTCCTAACGCATCTGTCTTGTCCCTCTGTCTGTCCCCATCCCCTCTGCTCAGGTGCCGCGCTGCCCGCTCCGGGAGGGTCGGTAGGCAGCGTGAACGGATACCACACATGCAAAGGTGAGCTCGCTGTCACTGCTGTGCCGGCACGCGCGTGCCGAGGCCGCCTCGCCGTCTCCCTGTCCGTTTTTGTCTGTGCATTTCCATCCATGAGATATAAACCACGATGTGACGCCGTCAGCATCCCGGCGCAAGTGAAATGAGCCTGCAAATAGGGTTGTGAATTCTTGGCTGTGCTGTGCGGTAGCCGGAGCCGCGGGACGGGCAGGCGGTGATGGAGGATGTAGGTCAGGCTGAAGGACGGAGAGGGGCAGCTTTGGGGAGTGACAACACCCTGACACCCCATCAGGTGGTGTTAAAAGCTGATAAATAGGAGATCGTTTTAAGGCCTGCAATTAAATTTATTGGTTCTAAGGGATTATAACCCATCCAACCCTTCAGTTTGAAGAGCAATTTTAATTATTGCCCGTTATCTGCTGTTAGTTCACTGGTTCAACGAGATAATAGGTGCATAAAAATGGCTTTACATTTTGGTGTCAAGTTATTTAACACTGTATTAGCAGTGACATTGCGAAAGGGGGGCTCAGCTTGCATCAGTCTCACAAACATGAAGGCATTTGCTTTGTTTGCAAACTGTCAACGTGCATACGTGGTGCAACTGGAAGGGCCCCTCTGGCATGAGAGGTGAGGATAATCTGACATTGCTCTGCAGACAGACGGAGGACGGCAGCGTGGGCTCTTGCTCCTCCTGCTTGGCCGGCTGTGGCTGCCCCGGGGCTAGATTAGTACCTGATAGTCCAGGTTAAGATGGGCAACGCAGGCAGCGGTCCTCATCTCGGGCTGCTTTTTGGAAACAGATCTGACCGAGATCCAGTGCGATGTGTCGGACGTGACCCAGCAGTACCAGGACCTTGGCGCGGCGCTGCGGGAACGCCAGCAGCAGCTCTCAGCAATGCTTGAGAAGATGGAAGAAGTGCAGGAGGAGGCAAGCTCGATGCTGAAGTGGCTGGAGTCAAAGGAACGAACGCTGTCGGAGCTGGATGCCTCCTCCTCGCCCACCAAGACGGAGACGATGAGAGCCCAGGCTGAGCACAACAAGGTACCTTCTCTTCCAGAGCAAAAAACGGGGATCTGAGCACCTCCCCCAAAGGATCTCGGAGATGTGCTTTATTGCAGCAGGGCTAGAAGGATTAGCAGCCAGGATCTGCTCTGGGTTAAAGAAGGGCTTTCCCCAGAAGGGATCACAGGCGGGTCCGTGGAGCAGGAGCCCCCGCACTCAGCTCGACCCTCTTTGCTTTTAGACCTGTTGCTTTCAGGCATTTGGCTCAGGGGAAAGGAGCTTATCCGTAGCCCTTGTTGCTGGGTCACTCCAGCTTCTCCTGGAAAGCAATTCCCCGCCTTTCCCTGCTCTTGGAGCCAAGTTAGCTCACGCTATTGCTAATAAAATGAAGTGATTTCATTAAAGAGCAAAGAACAGAAATTGTCCAACTCCAGCTTGAAGCTGCTGCTTCATTCCTACTCGGTGATTTCATTCTTTTGCCCTACATCTGAAGAAGTTCATGTGATTATTTTCCAGGCATTTCTGGCTGAATTGGAACAGAATTCTGGGAAGATCCAGAAGGTAAAGGAAGCACTTTCTGGTTTGCTGGAGAAATATCCAGATTCTCCGGAAGCAGCAAACTGGAAGAAGATGCAGGAGGACCTGAGTAAGTGCCTGAAGCACGTGGTGAGGCTTCTGTCCTGAAACATCACATTAGAAGTGGTTCAGGACCGCAGGGCGATTCCAATGTCACAGCAGAGCAGAGTCGCTTCTAATTAAAATTTAGTAAATAGCAAACTTATCTCCACGCTGTCTGGTGTACAAGGTGTTCCTGAGATGAGCACTGTCATGATTAAGGAAATCTCTACGATGGATGTGTATTTTAAAGACTTGCCTCCTCAAATTACTTCTTTAAAAAAAAAAAAAGGCAAGGAAAAAAAAAAGGTTAGCGACATGGGTTGATTGTTTTGATTAAAAGCTTCACTGCTTGATATAAAATTCTAGTCATTAGTAAGGCTATCCCAGGTAAATCCAGGGCCACGAAAACGATGAGGGGGATGGAACCCCTCTCCTGTGAAGAAAGGCTGAGAGAGTTGGGGTTGTTCAGCCTTGAGAGGAGAAGGCTTCAGGGAGACTTTATTGCAGCCTGTCAGTACTTGAAGGGCACTTATAAGAAAGATGGGGACAGACTTTTTAGCGGGGCCTGTTGCGACAGGACAAGGGGGAATGGCTTTAAACTAAAGGGGGGTAGATTTAGACTAGATCTAAGGAAGAAATTTTTGACACTGCGGGTGGTGAAGCACTGGCCCAGGTTGCCCAGAGAGGTGGTGGATGCCCCATCCCTGGAACCATTCCAGGTCAGGTTGGACGGGGCTCTGAGCAACCTGCTCTAGTTGAAGATGTCCCTGCCCACGGCAGGGGGGTTGGACTAGATGACCTTCAGAGGTCCCTTCCAACCCAAACTATTCTATGATTTTACGATTCTAATTAAATGTTGACTAAACAAGACTCTGTATTTAAAAAGAAGCCCAGAGATTCTCTTCTTTGAAATAGCAGGAACGCGTTTACGGAGTTCTCCATCCAGGAGATCTGAATGTGCTGTGTGAGGACTGATACACATGAGAGTATCCTCATTTATCGAGCCAGGGATGTGAGATGGCTCACCCAAGGTCAGACCAGCTCATGGCAGTAGTGACTAGAGTGCAGAAATCCTGCTTGCAAGGTTTTTTTTTCTATGAGCTTCAAGACCATGTAGCCATTAGAAATGGGTAACGGCTTATTAGATGGAGAGTGAATAGAGCCACGCTAGTTTTATTGAAAAGCTGAGGAGGTTTCCCGTCGGGGAAACCATGGGGAGGGTAAAAAACCTTCTCGATGGAGGGGTGGGCTGGCCGGGAGCGTGACCACTGCCAACACAGCCGGTGCTTCAGATTGCAGGTGGGAAAGAGCCAGCCAGGCAACAGCCGAGCGGCAGCAGAAGCTGGAGGAGTCGGAGAACCAGCTGGCCAGCTTCCAGGCTGCCGAAGCCCAGCTGCGCCCCTGGCTCATGGAGAAGGAGCTGATGATGAGCGTGCTGGGACCCCTCTCCATCGACCCGAACATGCTGAACGCACAGAAGCAGCAGGTCCAGGTGAGCCGGGAGCTGCGTACGCATCTCCACGGTGGGTTCAGGACAAGGAGGGGAGCGGGTCTCATCCAGTACGTGAGGTGGAAGATTGCACTCGGGAGTTATTTGTCTTGCAAGTGCTCTGCCGTGCAGCGAGTGTTGGGAGACCTCATGGCTCCTCTCCCAAGTCCTCCAAACGGTGTTGAGTGCGAACTACTGTGAGTAACTGGAAACGGGCGCAGCGCTCGAGCTCCCTTCCCCGCACTGGATTGACTCATCAGTGAATCACTTGGCCCCTCTTGGAGAGTGAAATTGCTTTAAACAAGACCTGTGCTGATGCTCTGCAGGACTTGCTAATGCTGCCCCTCCGCCTGCTCCCCCCCCGCCGGGCAGCCTGCCCTTCCCCTCCCTCCTGCTTCCAAATCCTAACATGTCCAAACCCAGCCACATCATAAAATAAAATGCCCCAGTTAACATAATTAGATTTCCTTCTCATCTAACTGGTTTATGTTACATTACACAGCAGCAGGACAAATAAGAGCGAGAGCAAAGTACTGGAGTCGCAGACCCCTCCCAGCTTTTTAAGTTGCAAGGTCACAGTAAATCGTGCTCTTTCCAGCCCAATTGCCGTCCCACCCCAGGGCTTGTTCCTACTGATTCCGTGGGCTGGATAAAGCCCCTGGAGGTCTGGCTTGTTTTGACTGTGTGTACTTGGAGCTGTCAGTTTTATGCAAACATTTTTATGATATTTCTGTTCCAGTTTATGCTGAAGGAATTTGAAGCTCGCAGACAACAGCATGAGCAGCTCAACCAGGCAGCTCAGAGCATCTTGACTGGCCCTGGAGATGTCTCTCCATCCACTAACAAGGTGCGGGAAGAGCTCCAAGGGGTTAATCAGAAATGGTCCGAGCTAACAGAACGCCTCAACTCCCGCTCCAGCCAAATTGACCAAGCCATAGTGAAGAGCACCCAGTACCAGGAGCTCCTCCAGGGCCTCTCCGAGAAGGTGAAGGCAGTTGGGCAGCGCCTGAGCAGCCAGTCTGCCGTCAGCACGCAGCCCGATGCCGTGAAACAGCAGCTGGAGGAAACCAGTGAGATCCGCTCAGACCTGGAGCAGCTGGAAGAGGAGATCGCAGAGGCTCAGACCCTCTGTGATGACCTCTCTGTCCTGATTGGGGAGCAGTATCTCAAAGATGAGTTAAGGAAACGTCTGGAGACGGTGGCGCTTCCTCTCAAAGGGCTGGAAGACCTGGCAGGTGAGACAGCACAGAGACGTTGCTTAAGAGATGTTGGGATGTTGTCCTCCAACCCTGCTTTTTGCTAAAGGGCTCTCCCATGACTGGGTTTCTAGGAATAATAGGGGAAGCACCATTTATAATTTTTTAGGGTGCTTCATGGGTGTTTTATATGGTACTAAGCACAGGAGAGTTCACGCTCCAGACATACCTGAGCCTGGAGAGTGAGCAGAGATGTTCAGTCCTACTGATATGGCTCTTCCACAAGGCTGCCTGGCTTGCAGCGGTGTGGCATGTGCTGTGCTTGGGGGTGGGGGGGAAACCCTGGTTCCTAAATTCAGAATGGGGCACGGAGAAGACCCAGTGGCCACCCTCTAATCTTGGGATGCCTCTTCTGGTTTCTAAGAGCTTGCATTTAGAGACTAGTCAGGAGAACTGAGACTACTGCATTACCGTTGCCTGTTATTACTTAAGAAATTCATGAATCGGTGAGCGAAAAGGCTAGTGATGCAATGGAAAGCTCCTTCCTGTTAATCAAAACACAGTTGGTGCATCTGAGATGATTTTAAATAATTGCACTTTGCTTATTTGATTTCACCTTAATTGTCGCGTTCTAATCTTATTTCCATTTCAGCCGACCGGATGAACCGACTGCAGACTGCGCTTGCAAGTTCCCAGCAGTTCCAGCATATGTTTGATGAACTCAGGACCTGGCTAGATGACAAACTGTGCCAGCAAGCTCAGAGCCAACCTATTTCTGCTAAACTGGAGAGGCTACAGAGCCAAATTCAGGAACAAGAAGAGTTCCAGAAGAGCCTCAACCAACACAGTGGCTCCTACGAGATGATTGTAGCCGAGGGAGAATCTTTGCTGCTTTCTGTCCAGCCTGGGGAGGAGAAGACCACTCTGCAAAACCAGTTGGTCAGCCTCAAAACACACTGGGAAGAGCTCAGCAAACAGGCTGCTGATAGACACTCTAAGCTCAAGGACTGTTTGCAGAAAGCTCAGAAGTACCAACGGCACGCGGAGGACCTCCTCCCTTGGGTGGAGGACTGCAAGGCAAAGATGTCAGAGCTGGAAGTAACCCTGGATCCGGTGCAGCTGGAGGCGACTCTCCTGAGATCAAAGGCTATGCTGAGTGACGTGGAGAAGCGTCGGTCCTTGCTGGAGATGCTGAACAGCGCTGCCGACATCCTGATTGATGCTTCTCAAACCGATGAGGATGACATTCGGGATGAGAAAGCTGGGATCAATCAGAGGATGGATACCATCACAGAAGAGCTGCAAGCCAAGACGGGCTCCATCGAAGAAATGTCACAGAGGCTCAAGGAGTTTCAAGAGAGCTTCAAGAACATTGAGAAGAAGCTGGAAGGGGCGAAGCACCAGCTGGAGATCTATGATGCGCTAGGGCCGCAAGCCTGCAGCAACAAGAATTTGGAGAAGCTCAGGGCACAGCAGGAGGTGCTGCAGGCCCTGGAGCCACAAGTGGATTATCTGAAAAACTTCACTCAAGGTCTAGTAGAAGATGCCCCAGATGGGTCTGACTGTTCCCAGCTCTTAAGCCAAGCTGAGGTGGCTCAGGAGGACTTCCAAGCTGTGAAGCAGAAAGTAAATGACTGCTGTACGCTCATGGAAAACAAGCTTGAAGGGATCGGCCAGTTCAATAATCGGGTGAGGGAGATGTTCTCTCAACTGGCAGATCTCGACGATGAGTTAGACAGCATGGGCCCCATCGGGAGAGACTCTGACAGCCTTCAGTCCCAAGCAGAGGACGTTCGCACGTTCCTGGGCAAACTCCACAGGCTGAAGTCTGACATCGAAGCTTCTGAAAGTGAATGTAAGAAAATGCTGGAGGATGAAGGGAGCCCCGATTTATTAGGACTGAAACGTGAATTGGAGACGCTGAATAAACAGTGCAGCAAACTGACTGAGAGGGGCAAGAACCGTCAGGAGCAAGTAGAAACGACACTGTCTCGTGTCGAGGACTTTTACAGCAGGCTGAAGGAGCTGACCCACATGACAACCGTGGCGGAGGAGAACGAGGCGTTGCAGTGGGTGGTGGGAACAGAGGTGGAAACCATCAACCAGCAGTTGGCAGACTTCAAGGTAAGTCTTTATGCTATCACCTTTCTTAAGTGGTGTTTGGTGTTTGAAGGTCTGTCTAGTGTTGCGGTCTTTTGTGTAGGACCTCTAGTCTTCAAGCTGTCGCGGCTTCATTGTTCATTGCTAGAACGTCAGCGGTTTTGGTGTAGTAAAATATCCTTGCTCTGGAGAATGTAAGATCAACTGTTGGACTTGATAGTCTGCGGTGAAAAGGTGCAGAAAGATTTTGTGATTGGGAGGAAAAAACTTTTCCCCTGTTCTTCTTGTGATGTGTAATGTTGGCGTGCCAGCACCTTGTGGGCTTGTAGAGGTGGTTGGCGTTTAGGTTTTGGGGGAGGGAGGGATGTTTTTGAGTCCATCTGAACTGTAAGTTGGCTTCATCTGAGAGTCTAGTCCAGATCAGATCGTCCTGTAGGTCTTTGGCCCTGGTCGACCCTTCCTGCTTGTTGTTCACTTCATCTGGGGCATATATAAGTCCATTTTTGGGGTCCTTAGGTACAAATAAAGCCACAGATAAACTGTGGGACGAGGGAGACACACAGGGAATACAACCGAGGCAAAGTTTTGCCGTGGGCTGTTCACGTTTCCAGCAAAGAGCTGCTAGAGACCATCAAGGCTTGCACAAAATGCCGAGAGGGGGAAGAGTTGGAGTGTTTGAATTTTGGTTTTTTTTTTTTTTAATACAGTATTATGGTGTTGGGTCATGCTGTTACACTACATTAATTATATTAATACTGCTTAGAAATTCTCTTGCTGTGAAACTTCTATTACTGATGTGCTCGGTAGCTGATGATTGGGCTGATTTACATCTGGCTGCTCATTTCCTGGTGTTAATGGGGGCTGGGAGGGGGAGGCGTTTTTACAGCCATTTACTTTTCATCTCATGGCTAATTGATCCCGTTCCACCACTTAATAGTTCTGTGAAACCTTCACCAGGACAAGGTATTTCTCTGTTGGGGATTGCCTATCCAAAAAAAGAGCTTGGAAGCGTTCGGGGCAAACTCAAACTCATCTGATGGTGTTGCTGTTAACTCTTGTGTTGGGCAGTCTTTTGCATTGAGCTTATATTGATGGGAAGGATTTAACTTCTTCATTAAACACCACACAGTCGCTTGGAACAAATATATCCAAAAAGGAGTTTCTAGTCCTTAAAACCAGTGAAACGTTCCTGCAGAGCAAGGGGTTATTCCCGGCTGAGCAGCTCTCACTGGAAACAATGATGAAACCCAGCGTCAGTGCAGATTGCTTGGTTGGCCGGGCTGGCGAGCGGGGCTGGCAGGTGCAGCTTAACCCATCGTAGCGCTTGCAAATGGTCTATATCTCAGTGACCTTGAGGACGACCCTTTAAGACACCGGTGTCCTGTGCTGCACGCGCCAAGGGTGCTTTGGGGAGTGACGTGTCCTTACCAGGAGTCATTCGTTGGCCATCGAGGCCCACACGGTGCAGCTGGGGTCTTTGTTCGTGGAAAAATGAAAGTTGCAGCGGTGATGGTAGGGTTTTGCTGTGTAATGGCTGAGAATGAAGTCGAGGAGAACCAAGAAGGGTGGCTGGAGCAATCGCGCATTCCTCCCATGCACGGTTCATCCAGAGAGCAAGCATTTTTGCACGAATCGTAAATGTTGCAGAGCAAATCTTTGCAAAGCCTCATCTTACGGTTCTCTCTACGGGGAAATGCAATCCCAGATATTGATCTGCACGTGGAAGGGCATCGCAGCACACGGGCAGGGACCGTCTGTACTCCATACGTGCTGCAGGGAGAGCGGTGGAGAAGTCGGGCTTGGGCTCTGGGGGAAGCGGGGAGCACGGGGCGCTTTTTTTGGTTGCACCAGGCTTTTATTTCTCTGCGCCTAAGACAATATCGTAGCTGTCTCCCTTTTTGGATTGCAAACAAGATGCACGCACGGTGTGTCCGTGGGGAGCAGAGGCAGCTCTTCAGCCGGGCAGTGCTCCCCGGGGCGGCGTGGGGACGGTGCAGCTGAGCGTGGGGAGGAAGATGGGGTGGCCGGGGCTCTCCAGGAACGGTCACGGTCCGTCTTTCCAGAAGGCTCAAATGCGGGCAGATATTATGTCTTAAGGCATTAATTTTAATGAACATCTGTGTAAATGAGATGCAAATTAGGTGTGGCCCCAGGGCTCCAGGCACGTTGCCAATGCAGCCCTGACAAAGGTGGGCACTTCTGGACTCATTGTGTCCAGATTTTAATAAAGAAGATATATTGGCTCTGACGGAGGCCGTGAACAGATGACTTTTGAAGCAGCTTATACTTGAAGCTTCCCATATATTTCTCTTTTCCTGCCTGCAAACACTCCTCAGACTTGCCCCAAAAGGCCACAACCTACAACAAACCCTTAACTTTTGGAGAACTGCCACCCGTGCGTTTCCTCTCTTCCCCCCAGCCCCTTTCCCAGGTCACAGGGGGACTAATCCTGGCTACAGGAGGGATGAGCCCTTTCCTGCTCTAAGTGCTCCTCCTGGCCGGGTTTCTCGGAGGCGGGAGGCTGGGAAGCAGCTGTTGGATCTTGCTCGGGGGGAGGCTTTGTTTGCAGGAGGTGTTTCGGTTCAGCGAGCGGGTGCAACGGGGGGGATGGCTACACCGAGGGGCTGAGCCCACGCCGGCCATCAGGAGCCAGGATGGAGACGTAGGGTGGACCTGGCCTTCAGGGGGTGGGGGGAAAACTACATAGGAACTGGTTCGGAGCACCACGTTTTAGAGGATTGTAAGAAACCTATCTGGAAGAGACTTTAAGGGGTCATCTAGTCTATTCCCTAGCTTTATGGTGAGATCAAGTGCAGCTGAAAGGCATTTCTGTGGTTTGGAGTCTGTGCTTGTATGGACATCCTGATGGATTGCTTCAGATACAGCTATGCTACAGAAGAAATAGCATGTTTTTAGCTTACGTTAAGCTGTCAGAGCAAAGGGATCTCATCTTTAACTTCTGGTCTCCAGCATGAGTTTAACCCAAGTGAGTGTCTTTCCATTGCTGCCTCTCTGAGGAGCCCCTTTTTTATATAAAAGGGTACTAAAAGTTGGAAGAATCTTTCAGCGCCGTGTCTCCGTGAGCAGAGTCAGGCTCTTCAGCGCGAGGGACAAGCAACAGCCACCAGCGAGAGCTCCTCACAGGAGCTTTCAGGCCGGGGCGTTTCTTCCCTCTCCGCTCTCACTGCTGTCAGCTCAGGTTTCTCAAAGCTTACACTAATATTAAATTTTAATGACTGGAATCAAATGAGCAACAGTTGAAATGTTACTAAAGATAACAGCTATGTTGATTCAGTTTAGCAAACAGCAGAATTCCCCAGGGAAGCGATTCCCCAGGTACGGACGAGCGATGAAGGGTCACGCGGAGGCGTAGGGGTTTTCTCCATCGCGTGCTCTCCAGCATCAGCAACCCCTGAGCTAGAAGACCCTGAGTTACAACCCTTCCTCCCAAAGACTGGGAAACTGTGCTTTGGATAAAGCTTGTGCCGTTCAGTGCAAGGGGCTGATCTTCCTTTACACGCCCAAGAAGCGGAGGTGAGGTTTGCTGGTTTGTAGCGGTGGTGCCAGGAAGCCCCAGGCACGGGCTCGTCCTGTCTGGCCAAAGAGCATCCCTCAGCAGGGGCAGCGGAGAGCTGATGGAATCAAATTCTTTGGTGTTTTTTGGGAAGACATCTGTGCTGGGGTAGCTTGGCCTCCTGGCTAAGCGAGCTCAAGCCTGGTTTTGTTTACCTTATCTTTTATACAGTGGATTTTGAACTTGGGTTTCAAAGCCTGGCTGGTACTTAGCGTTGGCAGTTCTGAGCTGGGACCCTCCCTGAGTCACCGTGTTGGTTTTGGACAAACTCCAACATTGCCACATTTCACCTACAAAGCAGACCATAACGCTCAGCCCTGGGTCAAAGGCGCTAGCAGAGATTTTTAGGCTTGCCGCAATATAAAGCGATGCTTGGGGGTGGAAGGATGCCGCTGCCTCCCCAGTCGTATCATGCCCGGGTGGTTTTAGTTTGCTGTGGATGTTTTCCTCCCCGTGATGAAGATGAGAGGAGGAACGGGGCAGCCTGCCTTCCCTCTGAGTTGTGCTCAACAGCCAGAAGGGATTTCTGTACGGATCTGGAGAACTTGACCCAAAATGAAACCCAAGAAAAAGCATCAAACTTGACATAACCAAACGGTCACCGTCGCGTTCAAATCGGTGCAGATGCAGTTGGCTGAAGGGGAAGACGCGTGGTGATGCCTCCGCGTGCGGCTGGACCTCCGTCGACTTGCTGGCCCCC